TTCCGCAAATATTCTCTTACGTCTCATTGGTCAACGTCTACATCAATCACTGGCAAGAGGACCTGGGATCTCAGTGATTGGCTATAGCAGTTATTCTTCAACATCAGGCACATTATCAACTGAACAAAATCAGGGTTTACTTAAACTGGAGGAAGAGGAGAATGCGCTTTGGTGTAATTACCCAACAGAGTCTGCCACAAAAGAGATTCACAGGGGTCCACTATGTTACTCATGTCATTGGCTTCCCATCAATTCCTTTCAATACTCCCTTTCACCCCACATATATAGCTGTGGGAATCATATACAAATCCTAGCAACTGCATGAACTCTGGCTTGTAGAATTCGACAGAGATGCTTTCTCTGCCAACTTTTATTTCACAGGTCACATCTCCCCATCCTAGCCTACTTTTCTACCCAGCTTGGCACTGCCTTTGTATTTTGCCTTGTGTTCTTTGGTACTGTCCTGAATGCAGTTTTTGCTCATTTCCTTTCAGCATTAGGTCTCAGGGAAGGTGTGAGGCACCTTACCCAAGTACCCAGCTCAGCCCCAGAGATGCTGTCCATGAGCTTCCTAGCCCTAGCCTTCCTAAGACAAGAGCATCAGCCAGATACTCCTGAGAGATGATTCACCCTTCTCAAAACTATTGAGGTTACTCATGTTGCCAATAAGTAAAGTATACAACAGGAAACCTATTCATTCCTCTACCCTAAGTTCTGTCAATCTAGAGTAGACTGAGTCTTTTTCTGAGTTTATATTCAAATTGTTGGCTGGATTCTTTTGGGGAGGTAGTCCATAAGAGCTCACCGTGGAATCTGTGCTTCAAGTAGTCCTGATTCTATGGCCTGTGTCTACCAGCTTGTCCCACTGTCACCGCTGATCACTGCCAACAAGTGATGGTAATAGTTGTGCACTTGTCATAACTCACCTATCAATATTTACCTCTCCAGCATCTGGACCAACAGGTGGACAAATAAACATCTAAGAGACAAATTAAATTAACCCAGTAGCCTTTTGTTTTCCTAAGCAATCTACCAGTTGGAAAGAGTGTGTGGTCATAGGGTGGGAGATTCAAATGCCCACTTTTCTTAGCAGTCATAAAATATTTGGTTACAAAGAGATCTTTTTTGCTTTGGATAACAGATGTTAGTTTGGCGGCTGATTAACAAATTTGGTCAGAAAACTACTAAGTAGGCAAAGGCAAGACCCCTGGGTGGATCAGGACCTGATCTGTGGACCCAAATCCTGATCTGCAATATTAGCATTGCAGGAAGAGTGGTTAGGGTTGCTGGAGCTCTGGATGTGGCCTTAGGTTCAAATCCCATTTCCAAATGCTCTCAGACTCCTGTAGCTTCGCTTTCCCTGTGTGTAAAATGGGAATGCTTTCCTCATAGGATTGTTGAAAGGATAAAACAATTTACTGAAAGCATTTCCAAAATAGCATATGCCTCAGAGTCAATAAGGTTAGCTATTGTTAATGTAGTATTATTCCCAATAATTATCTCATTCCTCTTACTCCTAGAAATACCAGGCTTGAGGACTCAGGGCATATCTACTGCCACCCAGCTTCCCTCATTGAAAGACAGTTCAAAGGGCAAGCTCTGTAGGTGATGGCTTGGTGGTGTATGCTGGGGAAAACTGCCTCTCAGTTAAGGTTGCTTTGAATGCAAATGAGAGAAACTGATTTTTGCATGCAGAAAAGGCATGCAACCCAGGCCTCCCAAGAACCAGAGATTAGAACTGGAAAGCTGTCAGA